AGTCTTTCCCTGCTGCTGGAGCCTTTCCCCGCTGCCAGTAAAGGCACGGAGCTGACAGAGCCTTTCCCCGCTGTAATGGGCACGCTAAATTAAATTGTATTATACTGTTCAGCCACTAGGTGACACTGTGCATAAAAATCCCTTTTTTAACAACCCTCAATCATACCCGGCAGAGCATTAAGGGATCTTATGATGAACATAGCTGGTATGTATAAGCAAGTCCTGTGACCAGTCCACATCTGGTACAGGAGCATGACATGGTGTCAATAGTAAACTAAGAACAGAAACAAAAGGAAAACAGCAACAGATGTTGCAGACAAAAGGAACAGCAACAAAGGTTCCAGGATCTCATCAATATGCCACTCTTCAGTGCCCCAGAGAACTTCAGCTTTCCCAGTGGACAGAATGGAAGCAATATTTTGCAAGATTTTGAATTGCAAAAAACTCCACAAAGCAAGTGGAGATATGTAGCCATCTTCTCTAATATATGCTACAGGGAAGCAGACAGAGCATATCTTTAAATCCTTTGACTTTACTGAAGACAGTCACAGAGATGACTACAAAAAGAACAGGAGTATTTGTGGCACCTTAGAGACTAACAAATTTATTAGAGCATAAGCTTTCGTGGGCTACAACCCACTTCTTCGGATGCATATAGAGTGAAACATATATTGAGGAGATATATATACACACATACAGAGAGCATGAACAGGTGGGAGTTGTCTTACCAACTCTGAGAGGCCAATTAAGTAAGAGAAAAAAAACTTTTGATGACTACGAAAGGGTTCTGGCTATGTTCGATGCATTCTTTATATCTCAGAAATGTGGTTTATAAAAGAGCATGTTTTCACCAGACACTTCAAGAACCAGGGGGAAAATAATGAATGTTTTATAAGAGCTCTGCATACATGCTGAAAACTGATTTTTGGGAATGCAAAACATGAAAATATCAGAGACAGGCTAGTAATTACTGGGTTAGAAGATAAAAACCTTTCACAGCAGCAACAATTGAAGAGAGATTTAACACTAGCGACAGCTATGCAGATAGCAAAAGAGTCAGAATTAGTCAAACAATATAACAAAAGGTAGGAGCAATTTGAAAACCCTGAAGCTAGCTAAGCTATAAACAGACACTTGAGTGTTAAAAGTCATTGTCATAAAACCCCTGAGGCAAGGAGAGGGAATGCTGAGGCTAAAGCTGTATCTACACTGCCACTTTCAGCGCTAAAACTTTCATCATTCAGGGGTGTGAAAAAAACACCCCTCTGAGCGACAAAAGTTTTTGTGCTGAAAAGCGCCAGTATAGACAGCACTCCCAGTGATACAGCTAGCACCGCTGTTCGGGGTGGGGTTTTTTTTTATCGCCAGGAGAGCTCTCCCCCGGCGATAAAGCATGTCTATACTGCCACGCCACAGTGCGGCCGCGCTGTAACATGGGCAGTGTAGACATACCCCAAGAGAGACAAATTCCAACCTACGTGCACAAGGGGTGGAAAAAGTCATATCCCAAGAAATTATGCATGTCCAGTCACAGGCAAACAGCATAATGCATGCATGAAATATGAACATTTTGCAGCTGTTTGCTGCACCAAAACAATCAGGAAGTTGACTCACATTACAGACAATCAAGAGCCATTGTTTCTGGGATCTGTCACTTGTGATGACAGAGAGCCTGCCTGGAGAGTGAAACTGAATATTCATGGCAAGACTATTGCCTTTAAAATTGACGCAGGAGCTGACCTCACAGTCATCTCAGAAGGACTTACAATCACCTTCAACCCTTCCCAAAGCTGAAGTTACCTGAGGCAGCTCTGGCAGTATTCTAACCTGCATGGGCCAGTTTACTACAAAAATAACTTACACTCTGGATGCATAGCTTTTGTCTTTGTATGTGATCTAAGGACCACAGACCAGCAGCCTTCTCAGCTGCAGTGTGGCAGCCATGATGGGCCTAGTGAGACAAGTGGAAGAACTCGATGGAATATTTGGTCATATTGGACTTTTGAAAGGAGATCCAGTACAAATAACCTTAAGAGACAATGCTGAACCATACATACATACATACACCTCGAAGGATTCCTACCCCATTACATCATAAAGTGGAAACTGAGTTAAAGAGAAGGGAGTGGATTGGCATATTCGAGAAAATTTCTGAGCCAACAGCCTGGTGTGTGCCAATGGTACCAGTTATAAAGAAAAATGGAAAAATGTGACTCTGTAGATCTTAAAAGACTAAATGAAGCAGTTGTGAAAGAAAAATATATCCTCCCAACACTGGAAGACTTCCTCCCCAAAGTGAAAGGGATGCCTCAGGCGGATAACTGGCAAATTTCTTTAGCTAAAGCAAGTGCTACATTTATCACACCCTTTGGGAGATTTTGCTTTCAAAGATTACCTTTTGGAATTACCAGAGCACCTGAAGTTTTCCAAATGAAGATGGCAGAATTGTTAATGAACACAAATGAAGTTACAGTTTTCATGGATGATATTCTGATATATGGATCTTCGACACAACAAAATCCTCAATGAAGTCCTAAGCCTAATCAGTCCGGACTGATGCTAAACAAGGGAAAATGCATTTCTGCCTATCCCAAATTTTGTTTTTGAGACAGACCATAAACAGAGATGGATGGAATCAGTCCTAGCCCTGAGAAAGTGAAAGCAATTTGAAAATGGAATGCACCAACTAATGAACCAGAACTGAGATATATACTGAGCTAGTAAATTACCTTGGTCAATGCCTACAAGACCTTTCTACAGTGACAAAACCACTGAATGAATTGTTGGAGTATATCTACACTGCAACTAAACACCCGTGGCTGGCCCATGTCACTTGACTTAGGCTCATGGAGCTTGGGCTGCATGGCTGTTAAATTGTGGTGTAGACATTCAGGCTAAGGCTAGAGACCAGACTCCTGGACCCCATGAAGGGAGAGGGTCCCTGAACCCAGGCTCCAGCCCAAGCCCAAATGTCTACACTGCTTAAACAACCCTGCAGCCTGAGTCCATGTCAGCTGTCAAGGGCCAGCCACAGATGTTTAGCTGCAGCGTAGACATACCCTTAAAGTCCAACACATCTTAGCTATGGGGCCAAATCAAGACATTTTCTTCAAAAAGGTAAAAGGATTGATCTCAACAGCTCCATTTCTCCAGTACTTTAATGTGAACAAACCCACAAGCAGGGCCAGCTTTAGGCCGATTCGCCCGATTCCCCGGAATCGGGCCCCACGCCTAAGAAGACCCCGGTGGTGGTCATCTTCGGGGGCCCCGCTCCCCTGGATGGAGCTCCGGCCAGAGCGCAGCAGCCCCGTGGCCCCACGACCCCGGCCGGAGCGTGGCTGCCCCACGGTCCCACGACCCCGGCCGGACCTCCGGCTGGAGCGCGGCAGGCAGCCCCGCAGCTCCGCAACCCTGGCCGGACTGCCGGCTGGAGCGCGGCAGCCCCGCTCTCCTGGCCGGACCTCCGGCCGGAGCGCAGCAGCCCCGTTCTCCCGGCCGGAGCGCCGGCCGAAGCGCGGCAAGCCCCGCGGCCCTCCCTCCCCCAGCCGGCAATCCAAAGTGCCGCCCCGGGAATCGGGCCCCGCGCTTGCTAAAGCCGGCCCTGCCCACAAGGGTCAGTGCCTAGGTGGGGCATTGTTGCAACAACATGGCTCTGAGTGGAGGCCAGTTGCATTTTGCTCTCACACACTTACAGAAGCAGAAAAATTATATGCACAGATTGAAAAAGAGTGCCTGGCAAGCATATGAGCATGTGAGAACTTCTACAGAGCTCTGTGTGGACTGATAGCAGACAAGAAACAGCTTGTAACCCTCATCAGTGGAAAAGACCTGGATCAAGCACCGCTCTGATGCCAACATCTACTGCTAAAGTTAATGCAATTTAACCTCGTTGCAAAATATGTTCCTAGGAAAAATCTGGTGGTAGCAGACACTCTATCAAAGAACCCAGCATCGCACTCAGCTACCTGTGAGCTTGAAGATGATATAATGGCATATGTGGATGCTGTGGATGCATACAAACCAGTGTAAGAAAAGGGACTCCTACAGCTAAAAAAGCCCAACCTCGACAGACATTCAGCTTCAGGAAGTTCTAAGTTACATATGAGGCAACTGACTCGAGTATCTAAAGGACACTAAGGAAGTGATAAGAGACTACTTTGTGGTGCGTGGACAATTAAGTGAGTCAAATGGACTTGTGATTAAAGGCAATTTGCATCGTAATTCCAAACAAATGAGTGGGGAAATCCTATACCTCATCCATGAAGGACATCAAGGATTAATTAAATGCCATGAACAGGCCAACCAGTCAGTCAGGTGGCCAGGCATCAGCAAGGACATAAAGAATAAAGTATCTGCACATGAACATTGCAAAACTAACAGACCAACACAATACAAGGAACCTTTAATAACAGCACCTCTACCAGACGGACCTTGGAAGAGACTCGCTGCAGATTTATATAAATTCAGAGGACATCATTGCCTAGTCGTCATGGACTATTTTTCCACATACGTAGAAATAGTGTATTTGAAAGACATAATATGCCCCAGTGTTATTGAGAAACTGAAGTCCATTTTTGATCACTTTGGTATTCCAGAACAACTAGTGATGGACAATGGACCACAATTCACTGCAGCAGAGTTTAAGTCATTCCAAACGAAATATGATTTTGACTATATTACTAGCAGCCGGTGTTACCCAGAAGCAAATGGAGAGGCTGAAAGAGCTGTACAGATGGCTAAGAAAATCTTACAGCAGGAAGAGCCTTTCCTTGCTTTTCTGTGTTACAGATCAACACCAATAGCCGCTACTGGATATAGTTTAGCACAAATCCTGATGGGAAGACAACTCAGAACTACTATTCCAACTTTGGAAAAGAACCTATTTCCAAAGTGGCGAGGATGAAGAGAGTAGCCAAATTGGATAAAAAGGCTAACAAAGCTTATGAACACTTTTACAACAGATGTCACTCAGTTAGAGAACTGCCAGGTCTAGAACCTGGTGACCATGTTCACGTCAAACTGGATGGGGAAAAAGAATGGACAACTCCAGCTGTCATAAAGAAAAAGAATTCAGCACCCAGATCATATGTGATTGAGACCAACAGTGGAGACTTCAACAGAAACCATCAACATCTACAGCTTGTTTCTCAGAAAGAACAATCAACAGAGCAAACTACAGATGGCAGATGCAGAAGAAGACGACTCAGGGATTCCAAACTGACCACAGCCAATCACTGCAAGTAATGGACACCCTTTCACCACTGCCAGAGCCTTTCCTTCAGTGGGGGAAGGGCTCCATCAATGGGGAGGCAACAGGACGCTACATTGCTAAAAACAGCAGTGTAAATGGGTAGGCATGGCTTGGGTGAGTAGAGAACCATCTAGGGCATGTACTCGGGTATGTACCCACACCCTTCAAGCATGTCTTTACTCTGCTCGCCTAAGCCAGGCTTCAGTGTTTACACTGTTATTTATACCCATTCTACGGAGACTACGCATGTATGCACCCTACACACCGCTAAAGGAAGGGTGCAGTGTACATGCACCCAAAGTGACATACAGCCCAGATACCGGCATTGCACCTGTTGTTATGGGCAACTGAGTTTAGACAAGGTTTGTTGCTGAATTGCAGAAGCCCTTTGCTCCCAAGGAGCCCACCCTGGCATCATTCCCTATGGAGACAGGCAGGGAGAGCAATGGGTTGGAGTTTTAAAGAGGAACATTAATTGGAAACCACTTACATTTTCTCCAGGAAAGTGTAGCGAGATGCATTGAATGTCAGTGGGTTTCTAACGATGGCCATGATATCCTCAGCCCAGCTCTGGGAACAAAATAAATGCAATCAGAGGTTAGAAAAGTGGCACCAATCAGGACATGGCATCTGCACGCTGAATGGCGCTGACCTCCCATCCCATCCTCGCAGCCTGGCTACATTGAGGAGCAGTGCACACCCTCCGGTCCCTCCACCTGCCTAATCTTGAGCTCCTATTTCTACACCTGCTTACAGTGGGACCTTGCACTTACCCTCCTCTCCTTCTCTTTGTCCACTTTAACTGCAGGAGGAGGAGGATGAAGTGAACAGCAGCAGCACATCAGTTCCCTCCTTCTGCTTGCAGGGGCTCAAAGGCACTGTACCCCCCTCTCTTTTGGAACTGGATTCCTGTCCCTTGCAGCCGGCGAGCTTGTCAGTCATGCTCAAGAATCAGAGATTTAGAATTCCCACCCTCCCTCTTTCCGCTTATACCACGATTCCTAGACGTCCCTGGTGGTCCATTCCCCTGAGGTCTCGGATACCTTGCCAACTCTCTCTTTGTAGGAGACAAAGTTGTGGAATGTGAGATCCACCATATCAGTGCCGGTCACAACAGTCAGAGTCTTGAGCAGGAAGTTGTTGTCTGGGAAATCCAAGTTAAAAACCTCTCGGAGCTTCTGGCTCTGCAAAGGGAAACAAGGTACTAATGAAGGGGGATGGGTAAACTGACACCAGGAAAACAAGACCCAACCCAAACCTTTATCCAAATTTCCATTCAACCTTTATGGAAGCTGGAAAAAGTTTTTAAAAAACTTTTTATATTATTCATTTTCACTGTGGGCTCCTGTACTTCCTGGGTCCAGTGGGAATGTGAAGAAGTACTAGAGCAGCCTGGCATTCCTGATCTGACCAAGAGATCTCAGGAGACACTTTCTTCTTGCAAGATCTCCAGTTAGGGTTGCCAACTTTCTAATCTCAAAAAACTGAACACCCTTGCTCCACCCCTTCCCCAAGGCCCCACCCCTGCCCCACCCCTTCTCTGAGGCCCCGCCCCTGCTAATTTTATCCCCCCTCCCTCCATTGCTCGCTCTCCCCTACCCTCACTTGCTCATTTTCACCAAGCTGGGGTAGGGGGTTGGGGTGTGGGAGGGCATACAGGCTCTGGGCTGGGGGTGTGTGCTCCAGGGTGGAGCCAGAAATGAGAGGTTCAGGGTGCAGGAGGGGGCTCCGGGCTGGGGTAGGGGGTTGGGGTGTGGGGAGGGTGAGGGCTCCGGCTGGGGATGTGGGCTCTGGAGTAGGGCCGGGGATGATGGGTTTGAGGTGTGGGAGGGGGCTCAGGACTGGGGCATGGGGTTCGGGTGCGGGAGGGGATTTGGGGTGTGGGCTTCAGGTGGTACTTAGCTCAGGCGGCTCCAAGGAAGCGGCCGGCATGTCCCTCCAGCTCCTAAGCGGAGGCACAGCCAGGTGGCTCTGTGTGCTGCCCCTGCCCACAGGTACCGCCCTGGCAGCTCCCATTGGCAGTGATTCCTGGCCAATGGGAGCTCCGGAGCTGGCGCTTGGGGCAGGGCATGGAGTCCCGGTGGCCGCCCCTATGCCTAGGAGCCAGAGGGACATGCTGACCGCTTCCTTGGAGCCACGCAGAGCCAGGTAGGTAGCCTGCCAGCCCCACACCAACCGGACTTTTAACGGCCCGGTCAGCAGTGCTGACTGGAGCCGCCAGGGTCCCTTTTCGACTGGGTGTTCCGGTCGAAAACCGGACACCTGGCAACCCTATCTCCAGTCCAAATTTGCAGACATTGCAGATGTTGTAACATATGGAATAAGGTGACAGACACTACTGAAGCAGGGTTCCTGAGCTTATTAGAGCCAGGCTGCTTGTCGCCATCACATGACAGCCTTAAGGCTAGATTACTGCTGTACGCCTTACTCCAGCATCACCATAACATCATCTCTTCCCAGTGCAGTTGGAAGTGTTAGTTATGATCTTTAAAGCCCTGCATGGTCTAGGACCCAGTTATCTGAAAGATGGACTCTCTCCCTGTGTCTTGTGCCAGTAGTTGCGATCGCTTGAGTCACACTTGCTGCCAGTTCCTGGACTTGGTCCCTCTGTAACATGAGTGTCAGAGCCCCTCACTTCTGGAACCTGCCTTCCCTCCATCCTCCTCCCGCCCCATCTGTGGTCCACCAGAGCCTGAGTTAGACAAGTATAGACCTTATCTGATTGGTGTAATATGCATTTCATTACTGGATCACATTAGGGATAATACATGTCATTTTTTACAGAATCTTTGTAGAATTATTTTTCATTAATTTTCTTCATCACCATGTAAAATCTCCCAAATGTAAGGTGCTGAGGTGCTGGGTACCATTTACAATGAAATAAGTAACATTCACAAATCATGAAAGAAGTGCATTAAATTCACTATATAAATGTAATCCTCCAGCCAAAACCAAACAAAGGGCCTGATCCTGCCCCTCTTGAAGTCAATAGCAAGTCACTGCCATTGACTTCAGTGGGAGCAGAAGCGGGCCCAAAGACTTCTTGCTGCATATGTGCAGCTAAACTTCTAATTCACTACCAGATTCAGGGCCAGATTCAGAGGTGATGTCTAGTGGGTGTAGGTATAAGGGAGACTGAGTCTACACTAGTGTAACTTACAAGCTGAGGAAAGTGTAAGTGGCAGTCTCTTAGAATCACTTTCACTCACCTCTGAATTTGGCCCAAGTAAGGTACAATCAGTTGCTCACATACAAAATGGGAAATGACTGCCTAGGAAGGAGTACTGCAGAAAGGGAGCTGGAGATCATAGTGGACCTCAAGCTAAATATGAGTCAACAGTGTAACGCTGTTGCAAAAAAAGCAAACATCATTCTGGGATGTATTAACAGGTGTGTTGTGAGCAAGACACAAGAAGTAATTCTTCCGCTCTACTCCACTCTGATTAGGCCTCAGCTGGAGTATTGTGTCCAATTCTGGGTGCCACATTTCAGGAAAGATGTGGACAAATTGGAGAAAGTCCAGAGAAGAGGAACAAAAATGATTAAAGGTCTACAAAACATAACCTATGAAGGAAGATTGAAAAAATTGGGTTTGTTCAGTCTGGAGAAGAGAAGACTAAGAGGGGACATGATAACAGTTTTCAAGTACATAAAAGGTTGTTAAAAGGAGGAGGGAGAAGAATTGTTCTTCTTAACCTCCGAGGATAGGACAAGAAGCAATGGGCTTAAATTGCAGCAAGGAAGGTTTAGGTTGAACATTAGGAAAAACTTCCTAACTGTCAGGGTGGTTAAGCACTGGAATAAATTACCTAGGGAGGTTGTGGAATCTCCATCATTGGAGATTTTTAAGAGCAGGTTAGACAAACACCTGTCAGGGATGGTCTAGATAATACTTAGTCCTGCCATGAGTGCAGAGGGCTGGACTAGATGACCTCTCAAGGTCCCTTCCAGTCCTATGATTCTATGATTCTATGTCTTCACCTCACAGTAAGCCCAAGCTAGCCTACCCTGGTGTGGCTAGCTTTGCAGTGGGGATGCTCCGTCCATGCTAAGTGCTACCCATGTAACTGCATCCACACTGGTGCTGTACTAGTCCATGTACTGGGATGAATTTCTGGTGTGCTATCCTATAGTTCTTAGTGATACATTAAACTGGACCACTCTATTAATTCATTTGCCTGGTGCTCTCTCTTACCTAGCATGGAGTGCTGTCTGTAGGAAGAACATGAGAACAATGCTTTAGGTAAATAATTTCCAAGGGGAAATAATCCTCATTACTGCAGATAGCTTTGAAGGCAAAAGCAAACAGCATTTGGCTGCAAGAATTTTTAATGAGAATGTCATTAAGGAATTCAGTCTGCAAACTTCAAAGTGATTTGTAGTGCACCTGACTGGGACTGCTCTTTCTTTCTCTTTTTCTTTCTTATCCATTAAGCATACAAATTCCCCCAAATTATGGGTCTTACTGACATCACATCTTCTGGCCAACTGGCAGCACAAGAGGAGGGCTTCTTGGACAGCACCTCCATTCAAATGCTGTGGAAGTGCAGCAGAAACAAAGCAGGCAAACGTGAGGTCAAAAAAGCCAGTGCAGAAGAAGGGAGAAGATAGACCAGAAAGTACATCCCAGGTAGAGCTGTGGGATAGGATTGGAGGTCTACCAGCACCAGTGCTTGATTATCCTGTATTTTCACCACAAAGTAGGGTGGGCTGCCAGCCCAGGCTGAAGCAAAACCCAAGATCAAAGCTATGCCCTCAGCTGTGCTTGCTAGCTTAGGCTTAAAGCACCCTCTTAGCCAGGGTTAGGGTTTTTGTGCATGTGTAAGCAGGGGAATGGTCCCGCTATTGTGGGGCACTTTCCTCGCTTATACACTACCCTGGTGAAACGGGCTAGCGAAAAGATCTGAGTCCTTGCTCCCACTCCCTTTATTCAGAGGCCTGCCTGAGCTCGAGGGCTCTCCTTCCACTCTCCTGTGTGGCAGAGTCCTTGTAACCCCAACAAGGCGGGGCCCAGGATTCCTAGGGCTCAAATCCCCAACCTTGTCGTGGTCACTTAGGTCAGGGTCTAGGGTGTCCACACTCCTGGATGCTCTCTCTGCTCTGGATGCTTCCATGACCCACTGATCATTCCATACAGTTCAAAGCAAATACAATTTATTAAACAGCAAGAAAAAATAAGGAAAAATGGGAAAGGTTAAAGGAAAACATGTCACCCCGCTCTGTGGGAAGGGGACATCACAAACAGCATCTCTGGAATGTAAGAGAAGTCCACAGTCTGTTCCTCACACGTCCCAGGCCTCCTTCTCAGGCCCTGGCTGTGCTACAGGGCTGCTGCGGGTTGGACACTTGCTCTGGCGGTGGCCAGCCTTCAGGCTCTAGGTGGCAGGACCCTTCTTCCCAGTGTCAGCCCCCTGTCGGGGTTATGATCCCCCTCCAAGTCTGGACTGTAGGGCCCCTTGGCTGGGGTGTCTCCCTGCGCTGGACCCGCTGCCCAGCTCCCCTGTCGTTCTTCCGAGTTGCTCACTGCACTCCACTCTGGACTGCTCCAGCTCCAGCCCCAGCTCCACTCTGCCTCGGCACTGCTGCTGCTCTGCCTCCAGCCCCCTGGGCTGCTTCTCTGGCCCCCCTGGCTCTGGTTGCTGCAGCTCTCCTCCCAGCACAGGTCTGCTCTCTGGACTACTTCTCTGGTTCTCTCTGGCCGGCGTGACCCTGCTCTCCAGCTCAGCTCGGGCTCCTGCTTTCTCCTTAGCTCGGCCCCATTCTGTCGGTATGTCTGTTCCAGGCAATTCCAGCTCTCATGGAGGATAGAACCTCCTGACTCCCTCATTAGCCTGCCCACCTGTCAATCAGGCTGACCTGGAGCATTGGCCTCTCCCCATTGTTCTTGGGGACTGTCAGTCTCAGGGGCCTGATTTCCCATCGATCCTTCCCCTTTCTTTTGGTACTGGGAGCTAGCCAATCAAAACCTCCCACTAAGTTTTAGTAAGGGGTGTGACGTTACTGACATATCCTGTGACCGTATAGATCATTGTTGCAACCACTATTATAGATTTGCAGCAAATATTGTACAAAGGTTGTCGTGTAAGGTGTCTATGGAAAGGTTATGATTTGCTGGGTATGATTACGATGTCTATATGTGTGTATCATTTTTGTAGTTGAAGTTATGAATATTGGCTATGTATTTGTATCTCAAAGTGTTTTGATTCTAAGTAGCCTCAGGGCTTGGCTACACTTGCGCATTACAGTGCATTAAAGGAGCCCCGGACGCACTAGCTCACTACCCGTCCACACTGGCAAGGCACCTAGAGCGCTCTGACTCCACAGCTAGAGTGCTCCTGGTACTCCACCTCGGCGAGTAGAATAACATTTGATGCGCCCCTGCTGGAGCGCCCCAGCGTCAGTGTGAACGAGGTATTGCATTACTGCGCTCTGATCAGCCTCCAGAAACGTCCCATAATCCCCTTGAGTCAAGTGGCCACTCTTGTCATTGTTTTGGATATGCCCTTTGAAAGCTCCGTTTGACAGCTGGC